TAACTCATCTTTGCTTCTTTTTATTGAAAAACACTTTCAAAACACGTGGACAGTTTCCTGTATATCATTTAAAGAAAGATATTTTCCCTTTGAAATACATGTACTGTATGTACTCAGTTCCATGGTAGTCAATAGCATCAAAGTGGGAGGTATCTTCGTTTGATGTCGAGTTGGTATTTTACTTTCCTGTGATTCAGATCTTTTCACTTTCTACCTCCTCTTTATAAATTACAAGATGGAAAATACAGTTCATTTGGAGATCAATTCCACTGTGCCCCCACACCTTTTCCCTGGCTTAAATATGAGGCAACTTGCGATCGCTGTGTCACTGCGAAATTCTACAGGAAAAAAAAAAAAAAAGATCTACACTATAATCATAGCATGTAGGCCTTCATACCATATCTGCCTTTCAACTGCATGTATTTTAAATCGCAGACTCATGTAACTTATCTTGTGCAGTGATACGACTGTTTTCACTACTCAAGCGGGTACCCCTAACATGAGACGTCGGGTGAGTAATGTAAAGAAGACTGAAACCATGGATCGTGTTGCATGCTGACAAACGTAGCACCTCAAACAAAGAATAATCCAGGGACATGGGTTTTTACGATTTCGTTGGAATGTGGACCGAAAAATATATGAATACATATTCATCGCCTGACATTGTACAGAAAAGTAGGCCTACATGTTGATTTACAAGACGACAAATAAATAACACACTGTCTAGTTACCCTTGGTCATGGTCATATGTTAGCTTTAGAAAACTTTGCCAAACATTACAAACTTTGCAAAACTGGCCCGATGATACTCTCGGCATACATGGGGGAATGATCTAAATTTATCACCGCCTACGATAAGTCTGATGCTTCAAACATGAAATCTATCATTCTGGCCTATATTATTTTGTCAAAAGCGATGCTATCAAACATTGATACATGACTTGTGTTTCTAATAAGGGCATGATAGACCTGAAATGTGATATCATTTGATTTTCGGTATCCATGGTGCATCTATCAAGATTACTATCAGATGTGATGCTATTTTCTCTGTCATAGATGACTTGCAGTATACTGCATGGTATCAATTTGGCGGATAACTAATCTCTTTCCTATATATACACAACAATTTTTTTCCTTCATTTTTCTTCTTTTTTGAGGGGGGAGGGGGTTATACAGTTTGAAATTGCAAATATATTATATATGATTTTCCAACCCCCTCGGAAATTAAAATAGAAAAATATCTTAGGGTTAAAAGGAAGAATTCTGGAAATGAGATCAGTTTAAGTATTGTTCATTTAATTTGAACCATCACTTTTAATTCTCTCGTTTACATACAAGTCATGTTAACTAGGTAACTACTCCAGCTCTTCTGTGTTGTCTCCCCTTCCTCTCTCTCTCTCTCTCTCTCTCTCTAGCTCTCTGTGTCTCTCTCGGTCTTTGTTTAGTCCCTGTTGATATCGTGTTGCACACCTCTTCCAAGAATTGACGATTTATCTATTGATAGAAGATATAGCACCATCACTAATGGTAGCATTAAATTTGGACATTGCACATTGTCCGATGTATAAAAATAGATTGAACAGCGTCAGACGGAACCAACAAAACACCCTCCTGCACAACATCATACCTCCAACGCCCACTAACAAACGTCTGCCGTCCGAGAAGGAGAAGAAAGGCCAGAAGTGTGTTTCTTACAAAGACCAAGAACAACGTCACGGCCAATCGCCCACCTAACAACCCCATGAGGATCATTGCTTCCATCATATGGGAACAAGGTGGGGCCACCAAACAGGTGCTTAACCAAACGAGGCCTACGACCGACCGGGCCGAGTCACCTATAAAAACCCCGATGGCGCCTAAATTTACAACCCAACCTGCCCACGGTCAGGTGTGCCCATAAATAGTAGCCGGGGGCTCCACATCCTAACCCACTCCTCTACATGAAAATGAAAAGGATAAAATATCAAAAGTATATTTGACGTCTACGACCTTCTTTTTTTCGAGATATAAATAAGAGAAATTAAACCGCAAATATTGACAAAGTAAGCTCTATTTCCACCTTTAATTGGTTAGAATGTTTAGAAGAAGAAACAAGAACTTTTTGCATGTTATTGTACATGATGACTTGTGTATCAGACACGATTGCGTTACAATTTATACGCCCCATTATATAAGAAAATACTGCCTAATATTCGTTGATTTGTATATTTTAAACGTTTTGAATCTAGGCAACGTCAAAGTAACATCCTGTCGTCTGGCAATGTTCAACCTTCAACAAATTAGTTTAGTCTATTGTCCTCAAATGTCATTAACAAACTATGGTCTCCGAGCATCCCACTATGATTGAACTCATTAGTGCTTTTATCTGCTTATCAGGAGTTACAATTACATTACTTAGGCCTATCATAATGTACGATGAAAGATACATGCGTTAAACAGAGCCGAGATTATTTGCATATGAAAAAGATTATATCCTGGATTTGTCATCAGAATAATCATGAGTTGGTTTTAAATGTGTTCGTTTATCAAATAGTGAAATATGGAATATTACAAATGATAAAGGTGGTAATCGACAATTGTATCATCTCATTCAACTTGATATTTCGACGACAGATCTTTTGCAAGCCATTGTTTCCATTTCCCGTCAGAAAAGATTGAGCTATTGACATTCATGCAAAACCACGGCTTCTCTCCACTTGGGAATATGAACAATGTCTGATGTATCAAAGCCTGCCATTATTCAACCCAAAAACATAAGTAGTGCTAATATATTGTGTTACGGCTATCATGTCAAAAGAAGGGTTTTCAAATAGAACATGACATGGTAGAATCTGCTCAGGTCTAGGCAGAATTCTTTGGAGGATTTGGAGAAGAGAGGCACGAATACCTTTAAAAAAAAAAACTTTTTTTTTAAACTCTGCCTTTGTATTCTACAAAAAGATTTAGAGGAAGCTGAAGTATGAGTGGGCTTCTGTTGATAAATATATATCTAAATATAGTATCTCTGTGCATAAAAACAAACATATTTTATTGGACATTATTTCATACTCTCATATATTTTATATATTATACAAACCCTCTCTGTCCAGACAAACCTTATTTTGTATACATAATTTTCCTTTTAAAAAAGAGAGTGAACCGAACAATGTTATCAAAAAAGTATTTCAACAACAGAAAAACATTTCATATAAAATAAATTAAAACATAATGTCATGTTTAAGAAGGTCAAATATTCACGATGGTTAGGATTTATTCATCGATAATACTTGGGTTACTATATAGTAGAAGTATTTAGAAGAAAACAAATCGTTTGTATGCTCTACCAAATGTTAGGTCTTGTTTCATGGTCTATAAAGTGTTGTTGATTGATACAGCATCGGTTATACAGAGGAGGACATAGACATTTAAAGTTTAATACCCTCTCAAATTTGGAGAATTAACAGTGAGCTGTGTCGCCTTACAGTTGTAGAATTATGATAGAACCAAGCAGGCTTTAGAAGAGGCCCTAGATCTATAGATGATTAATCCGTTACGCGGAATGCTTGCACCTAATACTATATCCAATTTCTTAATCCATGAACGTCTACAACCTGACAGTTGGCTTCCAACCCCCTATCTCCTAGTGAGTGAATCTCACGTGGAACATCCCACGATATAATCTTAACTGGTTTACAGCCAGCCACTGCTCCTTCTAATGACTTCCTACCTTCGAAAGCATCAAGGAAGATGAATATTACGTCATTATGAGGGTGTAGAAGATTACAGGTGATGATAGCAGAGTCAATCACCCAGACGACCCGTAAAGCAGTTGTCTACTTCAAAGATTACATGGATGCCATAGGCTTGGGGTCTTCTCCGACGAAGAACGGAAGCACGTCAAATGGTGATAATCGTGGGTAATTTTTATCATTACAAAATTAATTTCCTTCGACGTTTATGCTAAATTTTAAGATGTTTTTCTGCCTATAGCATTCGTATTTCCCACTTCTGGCAACTATGGTCCCTCAATACCAACATGCTCAAGCTTGCGTGATGTGTTTTACACGTACACCTACAGTAGTATCAAGCTGTGAGTTGTCACTGCATATATGAAAACAAGGTTCTGACACTACATTATGATCCCAAGTCATATGATATAATTAAACTTGCTTTAATTAATGCCGCGGCACTTTTCACCCCTCAACCAGCTATGACAGTTCCTAAATCAGAAGGCAGCAAAAATAAAATATGGTGACGAAAGTTATTTTAGTCTGACAATATGAGATTTGTTGGCTAAAAAGAGAGTGTTGGGAAACGTGCCAGGTTTGAATAGTGATATGTCAAAAGGAAGGGGTTTGGGATCGTAGGTGCGTGACCCCATAATACATTTGGATGCGTTGATCCTGACAACGCGCGACCTCAAAATTTATCGTAAGCTCCAAAAAACACCATCTCGATGTCGCATCCGACTTGACCGCCTTTTCCTCGAAATTGAATGTTATCCTAGATTTAATATAATAACTATAATACATGAGATGAGAACATTATTCATCAGAATCATTGTGGTGTATGGAACCGACAAAAAGGAGTGTGAGATGGCGGCAGGAGGGGTGATGGACGATGAAAAGAACTGTTGACATTCAAACCCGGAGTTTGTAGCGTACCGAAGCACCTGGGAACTAGCTACCGCTTCATGCAGTTTCATACAACACGTCGGTTGCGCTATCGATGAAGAAGCATGGGCTTATTTGCCATTATGATAAGCGTGATAATCATGATTTTTTTTTTAAGCATTAAAAGCATAAGAATTCATAATAGATATGAGACATGGTGCAAATATCTATCAAGTACAAGTACAACTTACATGTACAAGCACGAAATCTATTCACCTCAAACAATAATGACATTTTCCTCCAATCAACCGCTTTGCCGTATACGACAGTGTTTGAGCCTGAGGTTCGTGACAAAATAGCAGAACATTATTCAAGAATATTAAAAAGTATCAAACACATTAAAACTTACCGTTATCTCTATTATTCCACGCTGATGTCACTGCACACACAAATAGTACACATACACAAGTCTCGGTCAAATGCATGGTGAGTTTATAAATGTCAATTTAGTGAATTGATGTATAAAAAAATCCAGAAAGTTTTTCAGATTAAAGGTGAACAAAAGTCATCCACTATTGGAGAAAATATGATGATGGCAAAAAAGTACTGTTGACAAAAAAAGAGGTGATGCATCGCAAAACTTGTATTTCTTATTAACTACGGATTAAAAAAACAGGCATTCGGATGCATAATAGAGACTTGCGCTGCTCAGAATAAAGAGGAACGGCGGGAATGGCATCTGCTCCTATCGGGTACCTTGCAAGCGAATGCAAGCCCAGCTCAGTAGCACGGCTCAACGGCCGTATCCAGTATGACGTCATAGGGGGATGCCCGTCATACCCGTGACACACACAGTTGGGCCAAATGCATGGTTATTGGCGCGTTGTCAGACTCGGTTGAGTTCCTTCTGTAGATAAAGATACATTCATAAATTGTGTGAGATCACTTTGTCATAGAAGAGAGGGAATAAATCAAAAAGTAGCAATTGCCAGTCAAAGGAGTTCATATCAGCAGCAAACTGTTTCCATGTACCTAACAGTAACATGCTGTATCAGTCACGATTTCTAAGGGGGGTACATGGATGGAGATGGGGTGGGGTAAGCTTAGCGCTTTTCTGCAAGGGTGGGGGCTCAAGCAACCGTGCTTATACTGACCGATTAAACAAAAAATACTTGAACTCTTAGGGCATTACAGAGCCTAATACAGTTCTACCACCCATCATATTGACTCATTTTACTTGTTCGTACTTTCCGCTAAACTCTCAAGGGGACATGGAGGGGGGGGGGGGGCGCACAAACACATACACACATGTGCACCCCGAGTTTTATTTGGCTACGGATTAAAAACGGCTTATTATGTTTATAAACACACTCATATTTTGAATATGATTGTTTTTTTTACTTCATATTGCACTGTTGACATTACTTATCTACATGTAATAATAAACACGACATAGGTATTGATATTAATGGAATGTGAAATGAGCAAATAGAAGCGTCACGTGGATTTGTATAGGAAGAAACAGAAATTAAAGTATTTCTACAGGACTGTAGTTCTATATCACTTCCAAGCCAGGTAGGACAGTGAACTTAGGCGGTAATTAGTCCTGTTAAAGTATTCTGCAAGTTGGCTGGACAGAATAAGTCTTAATTTATGAGCTCAAGTCCATTTCCGATCAACAGTGTAGTTATATCTTTACCAGTGTCACTGGCCATTGTACGAACCTTCCTTTCCCTTGATCATTCTGATCTCAAGGGTACAATACAAACGATGTGCCAATTGTAGAGAGCCTTATTACAAATCAAGCATTACATAACAATTAATGTCCTAATTACATGCCTCAAAATGATTTCACTCTCAAGTCAAAATGGGATATCGTTACATTTTGAGATCAACAAACTGTAAATGTGTAGCGATCTGGTTGGTACGTCACCGTACTGTGTATCACATGATTCGAGTCCAGCCGCAGTATTACTGTCCTTAGGCAAGGCATACATTTGCCTCTCGCCACCCAGGTGAAGTAAGTGAGTACCCAAGAGGGTACCTATTTATAATTATAATCATTTACAATCTTTACAATTATTATTGTAATTATGATTATGATTATGATTATTATAATTATCATTATCATTATTAAATAATAATAATAATAATAATAATAATTAGTATTATACTTATCATTAGTATATCCCAACGTCTAGGATATTATGAGAAGATAAAATTAAGCCGATCCGATTGGAAAAATATCCTTTGAAAGACATCGCCATGAATCAAAAGGGATATAGGAGAAACATGCCTAATAAAACTAGAAATGAAATCCTTTTTCACAAAGATGTTTGAATTCTTGAATTTCGTTTGGAATTTAGCATGAACTTACAATGCTTATTGAATGTCTCAAGAGTCTCAACAAGACTGTCAATAACAATATCAGTCATTCTAATTTCACTGATATCTCGGCCAGTAGACCGTATAAGTTTCACCAATTAAAAATCATTAGCCTGTGTGATGTATGATGGGATTTGCGATGCCATCAAATGGAAAGCGAAAGTCGACGACCTTTAGATAAAGTTTGTTGTCGAACGATGAACTGATATTTCTACCCACTCATGAATACGCTGTGCACTGATTAAGTAGAATAAAATCATGTTATATTGAATAAAATCTCTTTTCCGCCCAACCACACTCAGATAATATATATCGATTACCTATTTACATGTATCAACGTGTGTATCTATCTCCCCCCCCCCCCCCTCCCCTATCTCCCTCTCATTTCTGACTTTTGGATACATCCGTTAAGTACTATTCGATTCATCTTGGTATCCTTCCCCATTTGTTATCATCAAAAGTCATAGGTTTATGCTAAAATATGCTTTAAATTACGATTGGATTGTTGGTCATGGTCTTTAGATGTATATTACGCTACGCAAACAAATATTCCTTTTTTCCCTGAATATAATGTTAAATCCCATTTGTTGTCAAAAAGGTCATGCTAAATTATTATGCTGAAAATCTTTATGCAAATGCTCGTCATGGTATCCAGATGTATTTTACACTACAAACTAAAAGTGATATTTTTTTCTTCTGTTTGTACAAAATGTTAAATCCCGAAAGTGCTCAAATAAGCCAGGAGCACTTCCTGCCTAAAAATGAGGGGGCGCCTGTGGTGGTGGAGGAATACATGAACTGAAAGGCCTAGCCATTCGATGATAGAGAAAGATTGAATGATTATTTACACGTTGTGATGGTAACCAGAGGCATGTAGGAATACACAGCGGTTGATATAGAGGCGGAAGCGTTAAGCTGTTATAGTATTAACATTATTATTGCTGAGCTGGTTTCTTCATTTTTTAATCATCCTTTAAAGAATGTCTTAATCAGCACTTGGCCTCCTCCATCACCTCGTTTCTTTTATGAACCCCCCCCCCGATTATTTTCTATCGCGTCTCTTACTTTTATATGAAAACTATGCTTTAAATTTCATTTATAACTATACCATGTGGTTTGTTGTTGTTGATTGTACGCAATGCAATTTTCTTTGTAACGCTTTTGTTCAAACAGGATAATCGAATCGATTTTCTCCTAATGAATATATATATGTCTCTTTAAAATTGGAACGGAAAGTTAAAAACATCATCTATATCATACAAATATTTGTGTTCTATGTTTGTTATATTTCATAACACAAAATAAATCAGTGATATTTGATACATTCAATGGATATCTAAAAGCATTTTTAACTGTATTATTTTGATACGATAGATAAAGCAACAGGTTAGTGTCCCCACTAAAGGGGGGGGGGTAAATGTTTTTAAATTGTTTACGCCATCAAAGCAGCTAACAATTAATATCAACCCTTCAAAACACATATCTTTTCTTCATCCATCAAATTAATCTCGAGATTTCGTAGAGGCGTTCACATTGTTTCATTGGAAAAGGGATTAGAAGGAACATTCGCTGTTTTCGAGACTGAACCATTTTAATATTGAGTCCTTGTTTAAAGAAGAATTGTTAAGGATTACATTTCTGGCACAACATCCTGGCATAACCTGTATACAATAGCATTTATAGATGCGAGTAAAATGTTCTAAAAATGCAGCTTTAATTTGCGTTGTGTGTTTTTTTCCTTTCTTATTTTGATCTTTTTCATGTTACTTTTGAAATTTTTAAAGTAAGAATGCTGTGCATAAATATTAATCTTAAAACGTTTGCCTTAATTTGTGTCTGTTTGTTTCTAAGAGTTTAGGTAACAAGATGAAAAAATAATGGCCATAATAATCTTTCAGTTTCATTCTTTAATAGAGAGTCTCTAGTTCGAGCTAAACTCTTTGTGTTCATTTTGTTCATAACAAAAAAAGAAAACTGAAAATCCGTACCTTTTACTCAACTTTTAGCCACGACGTATAGCGAATAAAAACTTGTATGCATCAATGAAGGGGATTTTTTTTAAATTTCAATTGCATGCAAATAGCTTGATGTATGATCGCTCTGTAAAATATGTTTATTCAAAAATCTTTCTTCAAGTGTGGTGGGCACAAAATCTCAAATTTCTGATATCATGATTAGACCTGACATACGGAATGAGATCATTAGTTTTTATTTCAAATCAAATTGATACATTATCCAGAAACGATAATCATACATAAAATGTAATACAGAACATGAATCAAGAAAGGTCAATTAGTGTGACGTTAATTGGTTAAAGGTTTTAATTTGATGACAGACCATCTTTATTAGTAAGTTCCTGAAAATATTGAAGCGGTAAATTCCAGAAGCTGTAATTGATCTTGACCTTTATACCCTAGGGAAAAGCGTGAACTTTCAAGTCTTGTATCCTCTTCTAGTTCAGTGGTTTGCCTGCGAGCATTTTTTCTTTCTTGGTCACGTGATCTCTTGCGGGCTTTAATGTTTTTGTCAGTGTCATAGTATATGGTCATAGATAGTTATTTGTTTTGTATGTTGTGGTTTAAAGGTAGCTTTCGGGAAATGAAAAGGTCGATTAGGGGACAGAGTGATGAATTTCCTTTTATATCTGCTACCACTGACGACAAAACCATGATACCAAACAGCGGTGTTAAATCATTTCGAAATGCTGACCATGATTGTGTTTCATAGAGAACAAACAAGACTTGAAATTACTACTAGTACTGGAGAAACAATGCTTTGTAAGATCGGATGTCGGCAACATGTTTCAACAAACAATGATAAAATTGTATATCATTTGAAAAATATGAACATTTGACTGATGAGTCTTGTCCAAGATACTATTGTTTTATGTTTGCGTAATACAAGACCGTTCAATTCATGGTCAGATGGTTAGGTTACTTGCAAAACAAATATTGATTAATACCCAAGGAGGAAAGGAAAGTGTTGTTTATCGTGTAATATATTCTAGAAGTTATGTAAATAAGAAATATATAATATATAATTCAATATCTTATTAAAACCTTAAACCGATAGAGGAACAATCGAAAGAAATAGCAAATTGATTACCGATTAAAAAAAAAACGTGCGTTGACGAGAAAGTGGTGAATTACAAGATTTGTTTTGTTTCATGGAAAGGGAGAGATAAGCTGTACCTTCATGATGTAGTGAACTAGCTACGTTAATTCTCTCTATGTGTCTCTCTCTTTCTGTCTCTCTCTGTCTCTCTGTTTCTCTGTCTTTCTCTGTCTCTCTCTGTCTCTCTCTGTCTCTTTGTCTCTTTGTCTCTTTGTCTCTCTGTCTT